TAAATATACTTGTATTTTCTTCAGTTTAAAAGGTAATTTGGCATTTTAAAAGGGATGCTTTATGGTGTTGACTGATGAGTACATTTGTAATCTCTAGAAAAAAAAATCTCTAGAAAAAAAAAATTATCAGCCAAAATTGCAATTCTTTTTTCTTAATGCAACCCCAATAACCTTCTAATTGCTATCTGACTCATGGGAGACACCTATTAGATAGACTACTCAGTCTCTAATAGTAAATAATAATTAATAAAGAAAAAAAAGAAATAAAAAGCCCCCTAATGTATAAACAAGTAATAAATATTGCTGTTTCATAGATAGCATTTGTAGGTTTGTTGCTGAATACCTTTTTACAGACACCACCATTTTCAGATTAAGTTTGCCTTTCTCTTTTCACAATAATTTAAATAACTCCAAAATTTTTGTTTTTTTTATTTTCCTTGTTTATTTCTGATGTTCTGGATCTGTGCTATGAAGTGAGGATGGGAGTAAGTAAGGCACACTGACATAAGGTAGCAGTGAGATGGAGCTATTATAACCAAACTATAATTGGGAATATTCCTTCCATATGTTCAGAGGAAACATTGCTGTAGAGTGTCAACAAACAGCTCACGGGTTCAGCCCAAGCTACTGCATTGAACAGAGTTTAAAAGAAATATGCAACATTGTTTTCTTATTTAATATCCCCAATGGACTGACTCTTCATTGTCTTGGATTCACTCATAGTTCTCTTAGAAACAGGAATGTTGGTGCTGGGAATACCTGATAGCCCAAATCCCAGGCTGCCTCCCAACTTGCATCTCTTTACAGTAAGCTGAACTATGCTGGAAAGTCAAAAACAGAGCAGATAGACTCAGAAATTGTCTTTCTGCAGAATAAAATTTACCCAAGAAGGAAAATAGGTCTAACTGATTATGCTTTTATAGAAGAAATAAATTTTCTACTTAGTTATTGGGGGTTTTTTAAACAGTCTTGCAGCATAGATCTGATTTCAGCCAAAAAAAAAAAAAAATCCCTATACTGCAACATCTTGTTCAAATCTGATATACAGAAAACACCTACATTTCTATGATAGATCATTGCTTCATGTGCTTCATATAGATTCACTTCATAGTCTAAGTGCAGTAAGAAGACAGCCATTGGAAAATTCATTGATTTTACAAACTGTGAAAACAGAAACAATAATTCAGGATTCTTTTTGGTGTCAACAGGATTCCTCGACACTTCAACAAATCTGTTCTGCTTCTGCTGATTCCTGCATTTTGCTCTGACTTGCTAAATGAAAACCTTTTCCTCAGTGACCAAAATGACCACTTTGTAGAGTATATGACTGATGTTTTTTAATTTCTCCCTGTTATTTTCGACATGTATTAGAAAACAAATGGTTATAATTTTACTCTTATGGAAGCATAAATAAGTTTGCCACTTACACCAGGAATATCCACAGTGGATAGCATTTACTAAATGCTTCCAAGGTTTCTGACCTTGGAAGCAAGTACCGCACATTGTAATATAACACAAACAATTTCAAAAGAAAACATATTTCCAGGTCTTCAAAAAGAGCTGAAGAGCAAAAAGTCAATCTATTTAAAAGCTGATTTTGTTTTGGCTTTTGTTTTGTTTTGTTTAGTTCTTCACAAACCAAAAATACACATGTACCAAATGTATGTGTGCAATAAAGAAAGGTGTGAGAATTATGGGTACCAAATGTATGTGTGCAATAAAGAAAGGTGTGAGAATTATGGTTTTCCTACCTTGACTCCAACAAACATGCTGTCTTTGTTAAAGACTATTACTAAATGTACCCAATTGCAAATATGAAATGCTGCTATTATTTTTAGTAGGGTTATAAAATTTTATAGGTTAAATGGAAGATAAAAGTGTCTCAGCATCTCCAACACATTTTCTTGGGAGGAGTCAAAAAGAGCCCAGTTATGCACCAGGAAGAGCCAACATACCCCTTCAGCTGTGCATGCAGCTCCAGAATTGAATACACTGCCTGTGTAGCTCAAGTCTTTCTAACTATCTTGGGGTACAGGGAAAGAATGCAGTATGAAAAATGAAGCTGTATTTTGATATATTTGACTAAATTGTATGTCAAATACTATCATCAGAGAGTTATATCCTGATGTTAGGTTTGATGAAGACAGATTTTGGCTCATTATACTGAGAATTGTTGCTTTTGGTATCTCACTTGGAGCTCTGACAGATAAGTAAAAAACATTAAGGCACAAAATTTGAAAGCTATTTGGGATCTGTGGCCTACTGAAATGGGCCACAAAGAAAATTTGTTAACTAATGTCTGGAGGAATAAACAAATGAGTAATATTTTATATTATAGGTATTACTACACTCTTCAACCACAGTATACTAAAAATGATGAGTAGATAATTCCATTTTTCTAGTATATAATTTTCAGTTCACTTTCTCCCCACTTTTTTTAAGGAAAAAGTGTCAGTTACCACCACTTTCCAGTGCTTCCACGTCCACATGTAATGCAGCAGATTTTCAACAAGCATTACTGGGAAAATGCACCAAGTTTTGGTTCAATCTCAAGTCATATAGCAAAGGTAGAAAGACTAATGTTGGCACAATAGAAACAGAGGAAACCAGCAAAATTGTTTTATAAATGTTATCACCAGAAAACTGAGCAGCTGTTTCTATGTAATAGCTCTGCCTTTAAATGCTTTATCATGCTTTTCTTTTTGTGGTAGGTTATTTACTGTACCCAGACTGGTTATCACCATGAAATGAATGTTTTGAGCACATCAAATGTCACTGCAATGTATAAATGTGCAACAAAATACAACAGCGATTTTCACAGATGATGTGAAGATAAACACTTACATTGTAATCATTCTATTTTCCTGTTTTGCAGTTTTATCTTCTGCTTTCTAATTCTATATTTCTTTGTTTCTGTGACTAATGTATAAAAGAGCTTTAACTCAATGTACAAAATAATGAATAATAATCCATTTTCTTCACAGTTGTGTGTTCTGCTTTTTCTTTTTATTGCTTCAATATATATTTTAATATGTGTCTTATTCATATATCTGTATATATTTGATTTGAAAGACTTCTGAGAAAAGCTGGTCTCTTAAGTCAGTTAACTGGACTGAATTTTGTTTCTATACACCAGTTGTACAGGTAGACTGTGTAACAGTATCACATTAAAAAAAATCCAACTATGTTATGTATATATATATATATATATATATATATATATATATATGTTGTATAACATATTCAGTGGTTTACATTGGACTTAATGTATATCTATACATGAACTGGGAATTACAGGGTATGAAGTTCGCTAACATCTTCAATGATAAAGCAGATTTTCTATCAATTCCATACTCCAGTTTAGTTCTAATCTATGCTTTATTCCATTCCAGTTGTTAAAATTTCAAATTGTTCTTGCAAACAGAAGAAAAAGCTATGGAAAAAGTGTCACAGAGTTAAGGATTTTTAACTGAAAATACTAAATTATTTGACATGCTTTCAAGCCGTGCTACAGAAAAATAACAAATGCTAATTGTAAATTTTAATTGTGACAACTATTTTGTGGAAAGGTAGGTAGTCTAATTCAATCTGATTTGAAATTATTATTCAGTGTGATTCAGACAAAAAAATACTGTAAATGTTTACAGTCTGATTTGTGTCAAGCAGTGTGACTTGCTAACAGATTACATTTCATTTTTAAAAAGGAATACTACAACATATCATTAGAGCATGCTTTCAGTATTTTATGGAAACCAGTGACCAACCAGATCTCAAAAAACATTACTTCATGTAAAATTATCAAAGAATTTCCCAGTAGGAGAAAATACACTCTTCCAAAGGAATCCTCTTAGCTCCAGCAGTTTTCACCATCTTCGATCTGACAGAGCAGTGTCTCTTCCTCAAAGGCTGACTGCCCTTCAGATCTGAGCCAGCCAACGTAAGGGAGAACTTTGAGAAAATTGTCTTTTTCCAGGAGCATGCAGCCCCATGGAAAACTGCCAGTACCAGTCCTCACCTCCCCCTGCTACTCCTTGCACCTACAGTATGAAATTTAAGCAGCATAAATGTCCCATATTTTCTTCTTCTTTTCCCTCCACCATCCCTTCTACCTTGAATTGTGTCTTTCTTTGGATCTCAATACTAATACTAGGAAGAAATTAATGCAAAATTAATTCCAAATTTTGGACAAAAATGTTTGAAAATTCGCTTGTCATTATTATGTAATATTTTAAAGAATATTCCTCTGAGTTAATTCTGAAGTCACTGATCATTCAAAGAAAATATTCATCAGTCTCTCAGCCAATTTTTCCATAAAAATAGTTTTACTCAAAAGAGATATTTTACCTTGGTAAATAATATTATATTGTCTGAGCTTTTCTCTCTCTGGTCAATAATCTTTCCAGGAATCCTTTGGTATATGTTGAGCTTCTGAAACTTAGAGATTTAGCTACTTAACAGTCCTCTGAGGCTCTTGGACTACAGCCACTTTTCTGCATTTTAATGCAATGTACAGTGATTGCCCTCTCTTCTTAGTACTGTTGCCAGTAAAGTTCATCTCCCAGTTTCCAAGGCAGAATGGCAAAGGTATAAAATGGACTTCAGCACTTTTCTACTCAGTCCAGTATGCATTGCCATATATGCACTGAATTGACTGAAACGTATTTCCTAAGGAGAAAAAATGTGATGACAAATCCACCCACCCAAATAATAAAATTTACGTCATGAACAAAAGACAAAAAAAAATATTCTAAATAATAAATAATTTACATAATAAATAACACATATGAAAAAAATTAATCAGTTTTATATTGTACCATTTATCATAGAAATCTGAAAATAATGTGTCTTAAGAAATATCCTGTGATTTGAAAAGAAATTTGTGTTTTAGTGTTGATTTGTTATAAGAATATGATCCATAATCGAGGTTCACTTCATGCATTTACTTCCAGCATACAATACTGAAGAGATGTCTACTCCTTCAAAGGAACCCTTATATTTTTTACTGACAAAGGAAAACACAAAGCCCATACATACATCCAGTAGCTACAGTAAGGAGAGAAAAAGACAGCCACAGAAATCGTGATCTGCATGCTCACACTACTGATGAGATTTTAGTTTAAACCATACATATCTTCAATTAAAGTGCATAAAATGTATCTGTGATCAAATCTGCTTAGATTGACTCATTGCAAGTAGGCACAGCTCCACTCACATCAGTTAATTTCTCCATGAATGCAAGTATCCAGTCAAATAGAATACTGCCCCTAATTCTTGAGTGAAGTCCTCTGGAACAGAAAAGAAGGTTCAAACACAGACTACAGTCAGAATAGCAGTGCATACTCTTCACTCTTCATGTATACAGTGGGCACAAAGCAACCAATGCCTCTCAATGACAAAAGGAAGAGGTTCTAGAATGTAAAATGGTGAAAACAGCTAACAGCTGGAAGTGTCACCTACTCCACGTGACACAATGATGATGGCAAACCCTCCTGATGTTATTAAAGGATGTGGTATTACAACATAAAAAAAAAAAAAATTAAAAATGAAAAGTCTCTAATCTTATTTTCTTTGTTAAAAGTTAAAAATTAGATTTTTCCCTGCAGGTGCCTTCTAGATCTATTTCCTCTGCTTTAGCAATTTTCTCTACATCTTCTGTAAATAATATTTCTTTATTTTCAATTCAAGCCACTCTATGATTTATGATTTTATGATTCTATACACCTTTGTGAGAGATACTTTCTGAAATATAATTAATTTATATTTTAATTCACTAAAATGATAGTGACAACTGTTAAAAATAAAAATGCTTTGTAGCTCATAATCAACCACAGTCCTGTGATTTCCTCATATAGACTTAAACTTTGCTGTGATTCTGATCTGTGCTTTTCTTACTGCTGTTATTGCTGCCACTAAAATATTATTAGTCATTCACTAATAGATTCTGTAGCAGGTGACAAGAACAAAAGAAATGTAAAATTTACTTTTTTTCATTAGCAATACTCTTGCACAATTATTTCCCACAACAATAAGAAAAAAAATCAAAGAAACAGTATTTTGGTGGTTATTTTAAAAAGGACTTAGCACCTTAATACAATTTCACTGATTTTATGACTTCATCTAGTCAATGGAAAAATACACATTATTGGATTCGCTTACAGGCTGTGATCATCTAGTCTGTTCTCCAACAAAATAGAGGCTAGAGAAACCCTTGAATTAATTCCTGTTTTAGCTTAAGCATATTGTTTAATAAAATATCCAGTATAGATTTATGAATATTCTCCAGAGATGGAAAATCCATTAGCTGGATGCTTACTATGGACAATTGCCTTCCATCTTTGCTAGTTCTCTGCTAATTGATTTCTATTCACCGGAAATTATTTATCAATTATGCTTGGGTCACCCCCACAGACTTTTCTTTTATTAGACAAACTGTTTGAGCCATATATTTCAATGATAGCCATGTGTTTTCATCCCAGCATCACTCTCAAGGTCCTTCCCTGAACCTCCTCCAATTTCAGCATCTTTCCTGCACTGTAGTTATACCACGGTATTACAGCAGAAATCACTCCAATCTCAATATGAAATACACCTACTTGACATTTCCTCAGAATGCTTATTTGCTTGTATCCAAAAAGGGTTTTGCCTCAAGCTTATTAAGTAGCTCAAATCCATTCTTCCAGTCCACTGAAAAAAAATAAAATAAATAAAGGGTAACCAAGCCAAGAGCCCATTCTTCTGGGCCCATTCTCCATATGAAGTACATACCAAGGTAGATATTTCTATTTGTTGTAGAAGAGTATGACACATTCAACAACCCTATTATTTGCTTTCAACCAACCTGTAAATAATTGGAAGGGTTTATTTTCAGTAGAACACTTATATTTCCTTATTCTCCTGTTAATCAGTGTTTATTTCATTATCTGACTTTGAATGCTAATTATCAAACCCCAGCTCTGCTCAGCTTCAATGTCATGTCAACACAGTTTACAATTAGCATGGTAATATTTTCCTTCCCTTTTGAATATTGTGACGTTTTTTTATTTTCTTTTATTTTTTGTGGAACTTTTCCAAAACTTTTGAAAGTCAGTCACAAAGTTCCAAGGGGTTCCTTTTAGAGGTTTTAAAGCTTCCAGTGGTATAATATTTTCATTTTTTATTTCTCCCATTAATTCAAATTTGGAGATTATTCTCTAAATCACGTCAACTCACTTTTAAGAAGGCTAAGCCAACAGCACCTGCTGGGTGGATGGGTATAGACCATTTAAACAGATGAATCAGATGTGCTAGGTGTCAGATGGAAGATACAGAAGACTTACAATGTGGGCAGTGGCTTAAACCAGGCTGAGCTCCTTCTTCAAGTTTTCCTGGTCCTACTCAGGCTGCTGAAAAATGATACAGGAAGAGATTAGAAAATGAGTGAGTTTATAGCCTTTTTATGTATTTTCTACTTTTTGCTAATAGCAATGGATTCTCATAATTTGAAGTATCAGTTAAACAAGACAGTCATCTGTGGTACTGAGACTTAATTTCCAGTACGTCAATCATTTTAAAACCTTTTTATTATCAAGATACCTTGCAAATGCTTAATTTTAGCCATCTTAAAATTATATCCACTCTCAAGTCTTGTGAGTCCATTGCAAGAGGTTGGAACTTGACCTTTGTATAAATTCTGCTATCAGAGCCAGAGAGAAATCACCTTAATTCCCAGAAACCATATGTACAGACAAAGCTCTGAAACATTAAGGTTCACATCAAAATTCTAGTCTCTGTCACTGTGATAGGCTTATCCATCCCATTCAATATTTCACATCAAAGCCTGAAGAATGTTTTTGTCAGAAAGAGACCAAGAGAGGTAAATGAGGCAGTTTGTGTGATTTATTGAAAAGGCCAGTCTTCTGTCTGTCTCAAATATCTTTCTAATAGCATTATATCTAATCACGCAGACTATAATATTAGACAGAAATGTTTACTGACTCAGGAGTGGAGCTCATCCTGCCTTCCATGTGCATTCCCTGGCCAGTGGTGAATCGCTTCCCCAGGAATACGAGTGGCTCTTTTACCCTGAGGGATCTGTTTGCAATATGTGCCTCGAGGCTGGAGCTTTACTTCTCCTTGGAAATAAAAGCAGTTCTTTACCTACCAGTGACTGCTTTATCCATTGAACCATTGTGTAGAAGAGAGGGAATGGGACCGCTTGACCTGCTATAAAAATGAATCTCTGGGATTGAATTATATCACTTGCACATAACAAAACCTTACTAGATCACTTTTTAGACCACTGTAAATTTGAGACTGCCATGTTACTGTTGGTTGAAGTGCCCTGCAAAATGTGGTATTTGTAAAAAAAGTTCCTAATTTATTTGTTAAATCTTCTTTTGTGAAAATAGTTTTGTGACTTCCCTTGGAAGAAATTTTAACAAAAAGAATTTCATCTTAGCAGTAAAAGAGAATTTTTAATTAAATGTTCTACCCTGCTCAGGTAGCAATATAATCTTTCTGTGTTTAGACATTTGTGAACATTGCAAAAACATAACCTTTTCTGAATCTAATTATATCTACAAAGCTGGTAACTGAACCTAAGTCTTGGATGCATTTTTCATTATTATGGATATTAAAAATCATCCTATACCTTCAAAGTTTTTTTTAAGACCTCTAAAAGCAATCCAGACCTTTTTATATCTGCTTTTAATAATCTTAAGGATTTTTATAGCTATTCCATTTCCTGTATAATTTCTTCAGACTCATTTAACTCTCTTTGGCAACTGTAGAAGAATTTGCTTCCCCCAGGGACAATTTTTAGCTGTATGTGTATCCATCAAATTATAAATTATATACACACACACATACATACATATATATATATATATGCATATGTATATGTTTTTATATATGCATATTGGAGGTCAAAGTTGAACTGAACAGCTGGCACAGTTGCCACCCACAGTCTTTCAGAAGAGCCAGAGGCAGGGTAGCTGCCAGTGCTTTGTATTAAACAGCTGAGGGGTGTAATGTTTCACTTCCAAAACCAGGAGGCATAGGATGCATAATGAGGGAAGTGATGGACAAAACAAGCCTAGTCAGATAAGTCTCAAAAAGCTGACTGGACCTCAAAATGTGTTGTTTACAGGCAACTTTAAACAGAGAGAGAGCTGTTTTCTCTATGCTACCAACAGTTCTGTGAATCCAGTGGAGAAGAAAGTGTGTTTCCTGGCTCTCCAGTGAGATCTCCATGTAACACAGAGATCCAGCACACTCTGCACCCACGCCATGGTCTCATCTAGTAGAAATTCTTGCCACAGGGCCAGATCTGTAGCCTGCAGCGGAAATGTGCAGAGGTTTGTATTGTTCCCATGGAGATATATCCAACCCACTCCACTGGACTCTGCTGCAGGGCACAGCTGAGCTCCCTAGGTAAGGGAAGGCCACCTCAAACCTATGGTAAAGCATTTGTAAGAGATGGAAAAACACTTCCTGGCAGAGAGGAGTGAGGTTAAAAATTGTGAGAGTAGAGGGAGGGGAGGAGGTGCTTCAGGTGTGGGTGCAGAGATCCCCTTGCAGCCTGTGGAGAGGACCCAGGCCACACCAGCATTTCATGGCCTGCAGCCTGCATGAAGAACTCACACCAGAGCAGGGGCAAGGGGTGAGGAGGCAGGAGCAGCAAAGAGGAGCTTTGAGGTCTGTCCACAGCCTGCTCCCCATTCCCTGTGCTGCTTGTCATGGGAACATAGAGGAGTCAGAAGTGAGGAGCAAACTTCCTCCTGGGCAAGAGGGTAAGGGGGGAACAAAAAGGATTTATTTTAATTTTTTGTCTTTGTTTATCTGTATATTTTTAACTTGCAAGTAAATTAAGATGATTTTCCTCAAGTGAAGCTTGTTTAGCCCATAATGTAACTTGTAAGTTATCTCCCTGTCTTTCTCAGCCCACAAGCTTTTTCATTTTATTATCTGCCCCCTGTCCTTCTGAGGAGGGAATGGACCAAGTGGCTGGGTAGTCATCTGGCCCTATTACTAAATGAGGCTGAAAGATGTGCACCAGTTGGAAAGGTGAAGAAAATGATTAATTGTTACCTACCAGCTCAGTGAGCTAAGATTCAGTGGTGAGAAATTACTATGCAAATAAATTTAGGTTGTGATTTTGAGCAAATACAGCAGGACAGTATTAAAACTGTGCAAACAATCATCATTCTTGTTCATAACATTTTTTAAATAAAAGTGGTTTTAGCATACTTTTTAGGATATGCTATAATCATCTTGCTCTCTTACTATATGTATACTATGTACATATGGGTGTGTATATATCTATATCCATATCTATATCCATATCTATATCTATCTATATCTATCTATATCTATATCTATATCTATATCTATATCTTCACATGCTTAATTTGCTACTATGCCAGAACAAACATATTAGAGGATTTTTGCAGTAAATTCTCCAGTTCTGTAATGGAACAAATGCTTCTTTGACAGCATAATTATTAAAAGGAGCCTAGCAGTTTACAGCATTTCAGATCTTTGGAATGCAAATGCATGTCCTGCAGACAGCTAATGATATTGTCAAATGTAATTTAACAGGTCTTTGATTCTCAGAGATAGCTTCACTACGTTACTGCTATGTCTGTATATTGGAGCAGAATTTATCTGTTTGAAAGTGATCAGCTAAGCATGACTCTGAGCCTTCAAGAAATACTTGCAGTAAGAATGCTTTAGAAATGCTGGACTAGCACTTCAGGGGTTACTCTTCTAATATCATCCTTTGGCAAAAGGAGTCTTTCTGCAGTAACTAATTTTAACACTTTGACCAATCAGTTTTGAAGTGACTGTCACTCTAGGCACCTCTCCTCCCAGCTACACTGGGTACCTTGCTGTCATCAATTTGTCATCATTACCTCCTTCACCAGACCGTCACTTAGCTCCAAGTTCCTGGTTTTTTCTCGCACTCTGGATCTGGGTGCTTTGGGGTGTTTTTTAACTAGACTAGAATAAAACTTACTCAGAGCACAGGAGCTGATTTACCTCATTTTCACTAGTACACTCACAGTACAGCAGGATAGGCAATGCTTTCCTCTAGCTGTAAAAGAACAGAAGAATCAAAGTCAGTCGAAGTCACCGTTTCTCAAAATCAAGATGTAATTAGCATTATGTTTTTACAGCAGATTCAGAGTCAGCTATTTGCAGCAGCATACTGTGTAGTGTCAGAGTTAAATGAATGCACTGCATGAGTATGCATGCACTCACAAGGTTGTCAGGTGTAAAGCCGTTTTTGAAACTAGAAAAATGCCTTTTCCATGTATATCAAGAGAGGCCTTTAGGCAGTCTTGGGGTTCACACACAAAGCTCTCAATACTTTACTAATCTATGCAAAAGCATATACGTACTAAATTAAGTGATTCTATTTTAAAACCTATTCTAGGTTTTATTTTTTATTTGAAACCTGTTTCTATTTTAAAATGTCTTTCTGATATTGCACATTTTCATTCCCTGGATCTCAGTCTGTGAAAGATTAGCCACTTCTGCCATAAGATGCATTTTATCACAAGTATGACAGAAAAAAATCAGTAGAACCTAATCAGAAAAATGGTAATTTATAAAACTTCTTTGTTTCTGCTAAATGAAGGTTTGAGAATTATCATTTATTCTCTGCTTATCTGAATAATAGTAATACCTTGAATAATTATTTTATGGTATATCCTAAATCTGTAGAATGATGCAACAGAATTTTATGAGCAAATATATATATAAATTAAAGGAGTGATAAGAAATGACTACTTTAATTGTGAAGTGAGAAGGCACTTGAAGCTAAAATGCAATTCATGGACAATAACTTCTTCCAACCTATCATTCAGTATTTGTCATATATGATTCATTCCCCTAATAGAAAGCTTAATTTTCCCAATGAGACCTGACAGTTTTCTTGAACTAGTTTCACAGATGATATATCTGCCATGAGTATAGATTGATGTGTCTCAGGTGGCATTACAGATACCATTTTCTGTTGATCTGAGAAAGAAAGATAGAAACAAGATCACAACTTTATGAAATGTTCATAGATTTTTTTGGCAGAAAATGAAAGAAATTTCAAACTGACCTTTGACGAAAAGAGATAACACTTCAGAGCATCTAGCCCAGTAAACAAACTGACACTTTTGCAATAATACATACACTGTGCAGACTGAAAGATTGCTTGATGTCTAAATTGATTGTCTGACAATAATATGTCAAGGTGTTGTTCATAAGAATGCAGTTCATTCTGTCCACAAGTTTTATAAAGGATATTTCAGAATTTTAAGAATAAAATTTGTAATGGGTAGATACTTGAGTATCAATACACCATAGGGCTGTTGCACATGCAAATAACTGATCTCCATTTA